AGAGAGAGAGAGAGGTGGAGAGAGAGGGGGCAGAGAGAGAGAGGGGGGGAGGGAGAGAGGTTGAGAGATGCCGAGAGAGAGAGAGAGAGAATGGGGAATATAGGGGAGGGGTTAGGGAGAGAGATTCGAGAACATAAGAAGAGAAAGAGAAATCGCATACAAGAGGTCCGAAAACTCAAGAAAACGGACACTTGAAGCAGTTTTGCCTTTGAGCCGTATACTCCTTTCCGCCTAGACTTCAGTTCATTATTGTGGTCAAGACAAGTATTGTCATTTAGTTTCCGTGATCTGTTTCAGCGACTCAACTCCGCTGGCTTCACGAAAGCACAGCCCCGTTCACGAATAGCCCAGAGGTCAGGCTTTCTAAAAGCTGGAATCTTCTGGCTGGACCCGACTCTACTCGGCCATTGGCTGGAGAGATCCAGAAGGCTGCTGAACTCGAAGCCGAGCCCCCAACCAGGAGCAGTTCTGTCCCGCAGTTTTTACATGAGGGCGGTCCAGCTGATGAAGTGAGTAGCAAGAGCTACAACTACAATGGTCAAGAATTAGATTTGCCAACGCAGCAACAGAAGTCTGAATCAGAGGCGCAGACAAGTTCGGGACAGACGAAGACTAAGTTATCATCTTCGTGTAAAGATTTGCCAGAAAATCTGAACGGATTGGAAAATTCACTTTTGCGCGATGGTCCCATTCATCGGGAAAGCCCGAACCTCCTGCGGGAAAACCCGAAACTCCTCCGGGAAGACCCGAGGCAAGACGCGGGGAGATTTCTCCTGGATGACGACATGATCATCATAGAGCACGAGTACTTGGCTGACGTCATACGGGTCGCTCCTCAAACGTCTGGGAAGGAGATTCGACGTCTGCATACGATCAAAGAAGAAGGAGGAGACAGTGGCAACGAAAGGAAACCTGTTCAAAGCACGACGTCTTCCTCCGCGCAGAAGAGTACAAGAAGAAGACTTCGTTCCCAGACGTCTTTTAACAGACTACGCCTGTCCAGACATCCGAAACAACAGGCGGCGCTGAAGAAACCGGTCGTCAAGGCAACGGATATCTCGAAGACACCACGAGGTCGCAAGGTCTTTCGACGTGTTGCTCAGAGCATTCTTGACGACATAGACTGCAATATCATCAACGTCAATGATTTTGTCGACGACGACGACGATATTGGCGATGGAGCGTATACCGATGATGAGGGCGAGGATGATAATGACAATAGAAGCGGCATCGCTTACGGTGATTACAGAAACAGGAACATCTCCATTCTGAGGACGAAGGCAGTGTCTCCACCTAGCATTATGGAGCTGCAGAGGCAGATGGGCGGGTGAGTTCCTGGATCGTGTGTGTGTGTGTGTGTGTGTGTGTGTGTGTGTGTGTGTGTGTGTGTGTGTGTGTGTGTGTGTGAGTGTGTGAGTGTGTGCGTGTGTGCGGTTTGGTTGTTTAAAGTTGCAGTTGTTGTAGTTGCTGCTGTTGTTGTTGTTGTGGTGGTGGTGGTGGTGGTGATGGTGGTGCTGTTTGCATTGTTGTTGTTGTTGTTGTTGTTGTTGTTGTTGTTGTTGTTGTTGTTGTTGATTTTATTGTTTATATGTGTCTTTCTCTTCCGTCTCCTCCGTGCCTCCCTCTCTTTCTTTCTTTCTTTCTTTCCTCCTTTCTTGGAAGGGGGGGGGGGGGAATCAGGAGCAAGAAAGTTGCCCAAAAAGTAATTCAGTGCCCGCACCACCAGCGCCCCCCCCCCCTTTTCCCACATATCATTTACCCATGTTAACATTCTCCCCACCCTCTCTAGCTACACTGGCGTCTGTGGAGAAGCGATTAGGGGCTTCGCTGTCGCACACAGGAGATCTAAGTTCGATTCCCAAGTAGAGAGATAATTCTTAATCGAGTATCTGGGATGTTGATTCTCTCTGAGCCCGGGTTGGCCCTCATAGAAAGGTTTGGAAGCCCGAACTCGTGGCTGATCTAAACTCTGTCGACGGGGGAATAAAGACACCTATATGAAAAAATGTTTGTTTCTTGGTGTTGTCGTTTTTATTCTTACTCACACACACACACACGCACACACACACACTAACCAAAGTCATTTTTTAAGCCTACATCTTTTCATTTGATAAGATCGATGACTCACATGAATAGTTTCAAAATATGGTCTATGACAAGGGCGCTGTGTTAAGCTGACTTCGTTGGTTCCCCTTCCAGGTTTCCCGCCAAGACTCCGCCCCCTTGCCACGCCCACAAGGTTTGACGTTCTAGGGGCCATGGACCGTGAGACTCCTGGGGTCATGGCCTCTGTGAGTGACCAGTCCTTGGGTGAGTGACATCAGCAACACCATTGTTGTCGTGGAGGAAGAGAGGTGTGGGAGAGGGGGAGAGAGAGGGAGAGAGAGAGAGAGAGAGAGAGAGAGAGGTGGAGAGA